AAAGAAAGAAAGAAAGAAAGAAAGAAAGAAAGAAAGAAAGAAAGAAAATGAAGGGCAAACTCGCTGGTGTGTGTTTGTGTATGTATATACATCTGATTATGTGCATGTGAGAATGGGAAATCACTTCCTCTTACTATGAACATATCTAGGGCTTGAGATGGAGGAAAGAGAAATCAGATTTGTTCATTTTCCTCGCTCATTTCTTTTTCTTTTAATTTTTTTTTGAGGGTAGAGGAAGGAAGGAAAGAAGATGGGATGTGAAAACAATTTCTGCCTCTAATTTTCCCTCCACAATGTTCGTAGATCTAAATCTTCAAGGGACCTTAGAAGTCATTGAGTCCAATCTCTTCCATTTTTCAGATGAGGAAACTGAGGACTGGAGAGTGAGAATGACTTTTCCCAGGTTACATGGGTAGTAAACAGCAAAGCTGGGATTCAGATCCAGGTCTGGTGACGCCAAGCTCAACAACGCTTTCCACTGGGTGACACTACCTCATCCTGTAGGGGAAAGTTAGGACTACCCAACAAAGAACGCTGTTTCCTCTTAACTTCTGACTATTCTTACTCTGTTCCTAAAGGCAGAATAGCTACCATTTTTCTAGGAGTAAAGGAGACACGAGGCAACAGAGACCAGACGAGATTAACTGACCCTGCTTGGTTTCACTGACCTGGTTCGATGCCCTCAGAGCCATCCGCCTCATACCGTGGTCAGGAGGAAGAGGATTTAACTGCATCCTTTTCCATTCTAATTCAAGGCTTTGCCATTTTTGCTGTAAAGCCCTCCCACAGGGAAGAACAGGATGTAATGAGATTACATTAAAAAGAAGAAAAGAAAAATTGAGCTCCCACTAGTAAATCTCAGGAGTAAAAACATCCAGGCTCTTGTATATTGGATTTGGGCATCTCCGTGAAATGGATGCCCTCGGCACATGCCGAATCTATTGCAGGTCCCTAGAAGTTACCGACATAACAAGTGTACGTTGATGTTTCCTAAAAGCACTGATCCAATATTGTTGTTTTGCAATATTCAGGATCAGAGTCAATAAAGAGGATTTTTTCCCCTTCTTTCTATACTCTTAGGCAAACAACCTTCCAAAAGCCATTGCTGCCGCCCATACCTTCCTTCTGAAGCACCCCAATGATGAAATGATGCTGAGAAATATGGCCTATTACAAGAGCATGCCTGGTGCTGAGGACTACATTAAAGACTTGGAAACCAAATCCTATGAGGTAGGTTCAGGTTTCTCTCTCTCTCTCTCTCTCTCTCTCTCATTTTTTTTTCTTTTTGGCTTTGTGTCCCCACGACCTCCCACAGAGTCAGTCTCATGGAAAGAACTTGATCCATTTTGCGGATTGATTTCATTGGTTGATGGGAAAACAGCATGGTAGCATGGAAAGAGTATCCCCTCTGAAGTCAGGGGACCCGGGTTAGGACCCCACCTCTGACCCTAATTATCTCAGTGTGACCTTGGGCAATTCACTTAAACATCTTGGTGCCCAGCTTTCTTATCTGTAAAAGAAGATAGTTGGTTTAGACGGTCTCTGAGATCTTTCCAATTCCAGAGCCGAGGCCCTGGATCTTGGTATAGCAAATGACACTTGTGGTGATAAAATAGCTTTTCACATTACAAGGGCAATGAATGGGATTTTCAAAGATTTAAAAAATATAAGAATTATCTGTGATTTTGCCTTTTGTAAAGATCAATCAATTGATCAATAAACACTTATTAAATACCTGCTGTGTACCAGGTACTGTGCTAAGCTCTGGGGATATAAGATAAGGCAAAAAAAAATGGTCCCTGTCCTCAAGGAGCTTACAATCTAATGGGGGAGACAAAATGTAAATAAATCTATACAAATACATATGTACGTATATGCATATACATACATACACATACATACATGCACACACACACATATGACTAAGTAGATAAGTTCTACAGAAATACTTTAGGCACATATACAAGTTAAGTGACTCACCCAGGGTCACATAGCTAATAATGGTCGGAATTGAACTAAGTCTTCCCCATTCCAAGCCCAGCACTCTACTTATTATGCTCCCCTGGCTTGATTTCAAAAATAATATTTTGTGAACATTAAAAAAGAAGTGCACAGCATTGTTGATAAACACGAGGATAGTGATTTTAAAAATCACCTTTTGTGGAAATATTTTTACTTTAATCTCTTTTTTTTCCTAGGTCTATAATGAAAGGGCATATAATAGATTAATATTTGGTTATTTTAAATGAAAATTTATAAAGTGAATGTGGGGGAAGCTAGGTGGTACGGTGGATAGAGTACTGGCCTTAGAGTCAGGAGGACCTGAGTTCAAATCTGGCCTCAGACACTTGACACTTACTAGCTTTGTGACCCTGGGAAAGTTACTTACCCCACACTGCCTCACTGCCCCCCTCCCCCCCCAAAAAAGTGAATGTGAAAAATGTTTCTGTCTAGTTCCATGGTTTTTGTTCTATATTAAAATCTTGCATTTCTGAATTTTAATCTACAAGAAAGCTCTAGAAATGAATGTTTCTGATATCCTCTAGTACTAACAGCTACCATTTCTGTATTGCTTTAAGATTTGCAAAGTGCCTTGCATATGTTATCTCTTTTGGTCTTCACTCAACCCTATGAAGTAGGTGCTGTTATTATCTGAATTTTTCAGATGAGGAAACAGGCTGAGAGAGACTAAGTCACTTGGTCTGATTTGAATTCAGACCTTCCTGACTCCTGGCTCAGCACTCCATCCACCAGTACTGGTGGGGTCTGGGAAGAGGGAGACAGATAAATGTCTCACAAGGCTTCACTCAGTCCCCAACTGGAATAGTGTCAGCCTCGGGGGCGGGAAGACCTTGTTGGAATCCCACTTCTTGTTCAGAGAGAATAGCAGCATCTGCAGTTTCTACCTCACAGAGTTGTTATGACTCTCACATCGGCTGGCAGGTATAAAATGCCCTGCAAGCTCCGAAGTGCTGTAGAAATGTCAGTTATTGTCATTTCTCTTCTTGCCGTTTCATCTGGGCATCTTTGTTCTGTCCCCAGCTACAGTCATAGATGAATGTAGCTGGCAGTGATAACATCATATGGGGTTACAACTCTTCAATCTAAGCTTAAAAAATAAACCCCTCCATCTTAAAATGAGCTTGGAAATCCAGAAGAAAAAGAAGCCTCTTTGGGGTAGTGGATCTGGACTCAAGTTCTGCCTTTGACACATAATGGCCAGGTGGCCCTATATGAGCAAAGCCATTAGAACAAATTGCCTTACCTCTCAGTGGCCTGGGCAACTCTCTAAGACCAGAAAGTGGTCATCTGCCTGGGTAGAGGGCGTTTCCTACCTTCATATGAAACCACAGGTCCAACCTCTATCCCTTATCCCTAGTAGTTGATTAACTCAAGGTGAGCTGTGTTTTAGGAGAGCTAAGAAACTGGGACTGTCTATGTGCAATTGTTCATAAGATGATTGCACAGGTAGCTAAGGGAGGCCCCTGCCTGCCGCTGGAGGATGTCAGCTGGGTCTCCTTTCCTTCCAGAACCTCTTCATCAGAGCCGTGCGGGCATACAATGGAGAGAACTGGAGGACGTCCATTACCGACATGGAATTGGCGCTTCCTGATTTCTTCAAGGCCTTCTATGAATGTCTGGCCGCCTGTGAAGGCTCCAGGGAGATCAAGGATTTCAAAGACTTTTATCCCTCCATAGCAGGTTGGCACCGGGCTGTCACTTAAAATTAACAAGGGCACTTTGTTGGGGGAGAGGGGCGGGGATTGGTGTCAGGGGTCAGTGGAAGGGCTGGCTTGGGAGCAGGTGGGCCATGGGAACTAGAAAGACCTTCAGAAACATGGTAGATGATAGAACAGGGCTCCTGAAGTGAGTGCTCAGAGGCAAGGGCAAACATCAGGGGCATGGGGAAACACACGGGAGGCGAAGATCCCCACAAGCTGGCAGTCAGCATCAAGGAGGCCTGGGGCTGGGCAACAGGTAAAGCAGGCCATCAGGAGGGCCTAATGGTAGTTAGGGGGTAGAGCTTGGCACCTTAGGCAGGGAGAAATAAGAGTGTGGGATCAAGAATTCCTGAAGGAATAAGAACAAGGCCCCAAGAAAGGAACTTGGACCCTAAGAAACAAACCAGGCACCCAGTCACTAGTATTGAGGTGCAAGGTGAGTCTATTAGCAAGCATTTATTAAGTGCCTACTATGTGCCATGAACTCTATTGAACTTTGGGGAAAAGACAGCCCCTGCTCTCAATAAGCTCAAAGTCTAATGGGGAACAACTATGTATAGACAAGCTATACATAAATTGGAGAAAATCCACAGAGGGAAGACATTGGCGTTCTTGCAGAAGGTGGGATTTTAGTGGGCACTTGAAGGAAGACCAGAAGGCAGAGACAAAGAGGAGGGAGAGACTTCGAGGCATGGAGGACGGCCAGTGACAATGCCCAGAGTCCAGAGATGGAGTTTCTTAGGTAAGGAACATCGAGGAGGCCAGTGTCACTGGATCCCAGAGTCTGTAAAGGGGAATAAGGCACAAAATGACTAGAAATGTAAGGAGAGTCCAGGTTATGAAGGGCTTTGAAGGCCAAACAGAGAATTTTCTATTTGATCCCAGAGGTGACAGAGAAGTCACTGGAGTTGATTGACCAGGGGGTACTGCCCCACTAGAGCATTCCCTCTGATTTGTTATTAATACATTAATTACCCTTCTCTGTGTCTGATTGCTCAACAAGTCCAGGTGACTTTTACCAGCATTCAGCCTCCATCTTGTTCATGAGACATTTTGTCCTAAACCATGCTGCAATCCAGGTCTAACTGATGTTCTCTTTGTAGTAATTCTTTCAAAAAAGAGGAAATGAGGTTAGTGTAGGGTGACAGCTTGATAACTTGATTCTGGTTTTTAGTGGCCATTTCCTTCTTTTTAAAAATATGTCAAATTTATTTACTTTACAGAATGAAAAGCAAAGCACCTTCATGGCAGATAGCTTGGAAAAAAATTTTTCTGGATCTTCCCCAATTCTTTTCTAGTCTATAAAATGTTTGCCAACCCTTCCTCTACTGTGGATGCCTTTTACTTCACCTTCTCCCATCCCTTGGTCTTTTTTCTTGCCATCCCATATGCCCTGAATGAACACTCTTCTTTCATTGCATTACCATTTTTCAAAATCATTCCTAGACTTAAGTCTACCAATGATTCTCTGGGCCACAAACTCTTTAAATGAAATTCTTTATCAGATTTCTGTTTTCTTTTAATACTAACCCAATTTCTTTTGGGCCTGTGACAGTTGTTGTCAATGTGGTAGTTTGATTTTATAATAGGAACTTACATATGATGATAATAATAATAATAATAGCATTTACTTAGGGCTTTAAGATTTACAAAGCTCTTTGCATATGCTATCTCATCTGATTCTCACAACAACCATGGGAGGTAAATAGCATTATTATCCCCATTTTATAGATAAAGAAACTGAGACTGAGTGAGGTGAAGTGACTTCCTCAGATAACCTAGCTAGTAAGTGACTGAGTCAGGATTCAAACTCAGGTCATCTTGATTGCAAATCCAGTACTTTATGTGTCCACTGTGGCTTCAAGGAGGAGATGGTATTAAAAAAATCATATCCTTTGAGCCAATAATCCTGGTATTCTAAGTATTCAAAATACATATTATGGATGACAGACACTAAATGTGCTATTAAGAAAAGGAGAGGCAGCATTGTAGAGGCAGAGAGAGCTAGCCTAGGAATCAGGAATAGCCAGGTTCAACTCTGCTTTTGGCACATACTGTCTGTGTCACCTTGTAAGTCCTTTAACCTGTAAGGCAACTCCCTAAGACTAGACTGCAGAAGACGTTCTAACCTGCACTGGGGGAGGGAATTTCCTCGCTGGAAGCTCCCTATATCAATGAAAGGTCAGATCGAGTCTGAAACAAACAAACAAACACAAAAAGATCTACTTGAAAATACCAATAGCGATGATGTTTGTAATAACAGAAACCTGGAGTGAGTTTGGTTGAACAATAAATAGAAATAAATAGAAAGATAATATCAATTTTATAGATATCTATAGCTATATAATATAGAAATATAATATAGATAGATATCTATAGCTATATAATATAGAAATATAATACAGATTTTATTGATAATATAGAAATATAAATAGAAAATAAATAGGAATCTGACTGGAGAAGCAGGATGGGGGAGTGCAATGAGCGCTAGTCTTACAATCAGAGGACCTGAGGATGAGTCACAGCTCCAATACGTACCATCTATGTGACCCTGGGCAAGTCTTCTTGACCTCTCTGTGCCTCAGTTTCTTCATCTGTAAAATAATGATTCCATTCCCTATTTGGAAGGACCTCAAAGTTCATCTAATCCAACCTCTTTCATTTTACAAATGAGGAAACTAAGGCTCAGAGATTGAATGTCTTACCCAAGGCCACACGAGGTAAGCAAGTGTCAGAATTGTGAAGAAAGCGCTTTGTAAACCTTAAAGTTCTATGTAAATGTAAGCTATTATTAATAAACTTTAATCAAAGAGAGAGAGGCAGCATAATGCTTGAGGGAGGGGGCTGGGAGGTTTACTAAAGTCAGCAAAAACTGATTTCAAGTTTTTCCTCTCACACATACTTGTGTGACTCTAGGCGAATCACTTCTGAGTTGTAGAACAGACAGAAGGAATTTTCATACCAACGCTTCTCTAAAATGGCGGCCAGGTGGTACAGTGGATAGAATAGTAGGCTTAGAGTCAGGAAGACTTGAGTTCAAAACCCACCTCAGACACTTGCTAGCTGTGTGACCCAGGGCAAGTCACTTAAGTTCAGTCTGCCTCAATTTCAACTGTAAAATGGGTATATTAACAGCACCCCCACCCACCCACCCACCCAGGGCTGTTGTGGGAATCAAGTGAAATAATAATTGTAAAGTTCTTAGCACAGTATCTGGCATATAGTAGGTGTTTAATAAATGTTTATTCTCTTCCCTTTGTCTCAGGTGATGAAATCACAAATCTGGATTAAAAAACAAAACAAAATAAGAACACCCTGAATCTCCTACAGTTATGCCCTTTTCTGCCACTGGTTAACCAACTCCCACTTATTAGTTCCAGTGAGTAGCATTATAGGGCACATTGAGGACAGCCAGAGCCTAGAGACAAGACATACCTGTTGGTATTGGGCTGGCACCAGTACTGGATAATAGGAGAGATTCAGGATTGGTGAGTAAGGCGTCGTCATTGGAGCATTTCTTTCTGTAGGCATTAATTAGCTAATCAGGAATTCAGGTTGCTACATAGTTAGCATCACTGAGGCCCAACAGTCAACAGCAATTGATGTATTGGCAGACAGACTACATTATCAGGGTAGTTTGTCAGTGAGTGGAGGCCAGACCCAGGCAGCCAACTGACCAGCGTCAAGGAATGTCAAGCAACAGACAGCAGTCAGGTGTCCTGGCAGGACTCAACATATTTGGGTAGAGGAAATGAGGCACAGCCCTGGCCGTCAGGCAGGAAATCTTAGCAATAAATGGCAAAGACTTCAGTATGGGGGCTGGGATTTGTGGAAAAGGCTGTAGGCCTTGTAAGACAGGTGAAATCAAGGCAGCAAGGTACCATGGAAAGAGCAATGAATCCTGGAATAAGAAAACCGTCAGAGCGGTATTGTGTTGAAAAAATGGTTGACTGTGTCTGACATTGTTTGTGTTTTTCTAGACCATTATATTGAAGTTCTGGAGTGCAAACTGAAGTGTGAAGAGAACCTCACCCCTGTCATCGGGGGTTACCCTGTGGAAAAGTTTGTGGCCACCATGTATCATTATTTGCAGTTTGCATATTATAAGTGTGAGTTATTGATTTCTCTCTAAAGATGGGATTTTTGCTGAAGTACATCTTTCCCAGAATTCTTTGGGCACCATCATGCTAGCATCTTTTACAGGCCCTGGGTGATGTCTTTTCTTTTCTTTTTTTAAATTATTTTTAAAAAATAGTTTTTATTGTTTGTTATTTTGAACTTCACAGACATCAAGACACATGAGTATTTCCATATACAAGGAACAAAAAAAGATCATTGCATGTGAATCTCTATGACAATATTCTCCTGGTTCTGCTCATTTCAATTTGCATCAATTCATGTAAATCTTTCCAGGTTGTTTTTTTTTTTTTCCTGAAAGCATCTTGCTCATTACTTCTTATAGCATAATAGTAGGTGATGTCTTTTCTGTTTTTGTTTTTTTGGGGTTTTTTTTTTTTTAGCTAGGCAATGGGGTTAAGTGACTTGCCCACAGTCACACAGTTAGTAAGTGTTATGTGTCTGAGGCTGGATTTGAACTCAGGTCCTCCTGAATCCAGGGCCGGTGCTCTATCCACTGGTGATGTCTTTTCTTATAATGACTGAGGCTCCTGTCACATTGGAAAGGCTTTATCCCTTGGGCTGAAATGAAAACTTCATAAATTTGGCAACAATTCAGTCCCACAAATGGAGAGGTGGCATGGTGTAGGGGATAGAGGACTGGGTTTGGAATTTGACTTTCAGTCCTGCCTCAGATGATTATTAACTGTGTGATCTTTCATAAGTCATTCATCTCTCAGTCTCCATTTCCCCACCTATAAAATGGGGATGATAATAGCACCCACTTCATAGGATTGTTATGAGGATAAAGAGACTGTATACACATATGTGTGTATAATATAAATACACATAAATAGCCATAGGGTTGTTATGAGGATAGAATGAGATTATATACATATGTGTATAAATATAAGTTCATATAAATAGCCACAGGTTTACTATGAGGATAAAATGAGATTATATACACATATATAATAGTATGTATTATATATTTATTTGTATTATGTAAATATTACATGTATTATATGTGTTAATATATAATCAAATATTGTATATAATATTATATATTATAGTAGTATATATTATACACAAATATGTATGTATAAATATAAATATCCACATGGTTGTTATGAGGATAAAATGAGATTATATACACATAAATATATGTAAATATAAATGTGCACATATACACTATATACATGTCCATATATAAACTCATGGCCATATATACATTTGTGTGTGTATATGTATATATAATATGATATAATAATATATTATATATTATAGCAGTATATGTTATACATAATAGTATATATTATACACATATGTGTGTACAAATATAAACACATATAAATATCCACATGGCTGTTATGAGGATAAAATGAGATTATATATGCATAAATATATATAAATATAAGTGTGCATGTATATGCTATACACATGTCTATATATATGTTTGTGTGTATATGTATATATAATATGATATAATATTATTATATATTATATAATTATATATTATAGCAGTATATATTATACATAATAGTATATATTATATACATATGTGTATACAAATATAAATACATATAAATATCCACATGGTTCTTATGAGGATATAATGAGATTATATATACACACACACACACGTATATATATAATATAAATGTACATGTATATACTATACACATGCCCATCTATACATTTATGTGTGTGTGTATGTGGAGATATATATATATATCTTACCATACACGTATCATAAACATGTGAGAGTGAGCCTCAAAGACAGAAAGTCCTAGCTCTGACTGGCTGTGTGACCCCTGGACAAATTATTTCACTTTCCTACAGTTTAGACAGTTTTATACAGCTACCGATTGCAGAGAAGTTTCTTCACTGTGGAGTTCTGCGTCCCAGTGAAATCAAGGCTCTAACTCCCATCCTGATGCTGGCCTCGATGATCTCTCCATCTCCTTCCAGCCCTAAACCTGTGTCCTATCTAGAGTGGTTGGCCGCAGCCACAGAGTTGAAGATGATCTTTCTGACCATATTGGCGCAGATGATAAGATTTGAGGGGAAGATACCTTGGAAACTATGTATTCCAACCCCTACATTTTCTACTGGAGGAAGATGAGGCCCAGAGATGGGAAACAAATTGCCCAAAGTCACAGAGAGAACAAAAAAAGATACGGCTCATTGTGACCTGACTCCAGATTCAGGCCCGTTTCCCCTATGTACTCCATGCTTCCCCATTTATGGGAGGTGGTTTATGTGGGAATTTGGACTGGCACTTGTGCCCTGAATTCTTTGAAGTGGGGAGCTGTCTGTAGAGCACTCACATTTGAACATTCCAAACGCTGAGCTAGCCCCTCCGACTGGGTCACAGAAGCCCGGAGGGCGTAATATGACCACAAAGTGGGATCCAAACTATTCTGCAAATGCGACGGTATCCTGCTACTTCTTTTCCTCCTTCACATGCCCTGCCAGCATACGTGTACCCTCATGCTCTAACCGAATTCTAAGAGCAGGAGATGAAGCTTGGAGTAGGGGAAGGAGTGCTGTCTAAGCAGCCTAGAGAACTGTATTCCAATGGTGGGTCCGCCATGATGGAGCCAGCTGTGTGAAATCAGGCTAGTCACTTCTCTCATGATCTCAGTTTCCTCACGTGCAAAATAGCGGTCTTGGGCTAGGTGCCTTCCGTCTATAAAACAGTTTTTTTCCAAATTTCTCCTCTAGTGGAACTTCCAAGGAGCTTCCCAGTGGTGCTGGCTGATTCTTTTAGCTTTGTTTGTGTTTTTCAGAAAGTCTTTCCTTTAATGTTTTTAAGGTATCACAGTGCCTGGAACATAGTAAGCACTTAATAAATGCTTGTTGACTTGTTGACCACCAGCTGTGGATTTAGGAATCCTATGCTCCTGATTCTGTAAGAATACAGTCATTTTATCAAACTACCACTAGATGGCACAAGTCACACATCCAAATGGATATTTTTGGTATGCTGATGCCATTCAGGGAACCTAGTTTTCATAACTGGTAAGACAGAATGCTAAATATGCCCCATCCAGAACTGGTGCCCCTTCACCCTTTTTCTCACCCCTAATTTCCTTTCAATACTGGCTTAGGTCTGCTCCAACGCTGTAAGGGCGTTGGTCAGATTTCTTGCGTTTTGAAGCCTACTGGTCAGGATGACTCATTCCAGAGTTCAGGTCACTGGAGGCTAGGAGCAGGCTTAATTTAGTCTAGACAATCTAACCACACCCTGCAGTAGTGTAGAGTACCTGAGCCACCCCAGCCTTCTAGAGCCTCTTGGAACTAAGCATAGATAATTCAAGGTCTAAAGGAACATTTTCAGACCCAGTCTGGGTCAGGCCTGCATTGCTGGCACAATCTAGCATCAGGGAATAGCTGAGGTAAGGGTGAAGGGAAGGGAACAAGCGTTTATTAAGCATCTCCTGTGTGCCAAGCACTATGCTAAGTGCTTTACAAATATCAGCTCATTTGATCATCACAGCTCTAGGAGGTATACCCATTTTACAGTTGAGGAAACTGAGGCAGCCAGCAGTTGAGTGACTTGCTTAGGGTCACAAGGTAAGGGGCCATTTGTCCAGGGGCATTTTCCTTGACAAGTGAACGCAGCAGTGGTATTTCCATTACCTTTAAATTTTTTTTTAGCCGTTTCAATTATCCTAAAAAAGGAGTTTTATTGATATCTTTTGTGTTTACATCATATTCATTTCTAGATCTCCTCCTTTCCTCTCTACTACCCAGCAAGCCTTCCTTTTGTAATAAAGATTGAAAAAAAACCCTCAACACTCAACCATTCAGCAAAACTACTACATTTGACATTACATGCAACATTCCACACCATAATCTCTCCCTTCTCAAAGGAAAGAGGTGCATTCTCTCATCTCTTTGAGGCTAAGACTGGTTATTATATTACATAATATAATTTGGTTTTGAGGGCTTTTTTATTCCTTTTTACATTTGTTGTAGTCATTTCATGTATTGTTTTCTTACGTGATTCTGCTTACTTATGTTCATCTGTTCATACATCTTCTCGTTTCTCAGAATTTCTTACATTGCTTTATAGGATGCAATATTATTCTATGATATTCATGCACCATAGTTATCCATTCTCCAACTGGTGGGTGCCCACTTTCCACTTTGTTTTTCTACTTCTTTGCTACCACAAAAAGTACTGCCATGAATATTTAGGTGCCCATGGGACCTTTATTTCTGTCTTTTACCTCCTTGGAGTTCCATATGTGGCACTAAGATCTCTGGATTTAGGAGTATGGAGATTTTAGTCACTTTTTTTCCCACATAATTCCAAATCATTTTCCAGAATGGCTAAACTAATTCACAGCCTCACTAATAGAATAACAGTGTACCTGTCTTCCTGCAGAGCCTCCAACACTGACCACTTCAGTCCTTGTCATTATTGCCACTTTTTTGGATGGAATGTGAAACAAAGTTGATTCACATTTCTCTTATTATTAGTGATTTGGAGTCAGCTTTCAAGGGGTTGTGAATTGTTTGCAATTTTGAAAAAGTGCTTGCTCACATCCTTTGGCCACTCATTGAATGGGGAACAAATAGCTCTTGATCTTATATATTCTATTAATTCTGTGTATGTCTCAGGTAGCAATCTTTATCAGAGATATTTGAGCCAAAGATTTTTACCCAATCTGTAACTTTTTTTAATCTGAGCAAAATTTATTTTGTTTGTGCAAAAGGTACTTCCTTTTTCCAACATTGACCTCAGATCCTGCATCAGGTACTCACTTTTTATGGAATTTACTTGGCCCAATACTGTTTCTAGTTCTAAATACCCAATGACAGGTTTTCCAAATCAGAGACCATCCAGTAAGACATGTCAGATTTTCCATAAATCCATCCTAATTTTTCAAGGCCTTTAGGAAACTGTTCTCCATCTCTAATGAAATATGACCTTCTAGATTATTTTTCTTCCCATTTTTCTCCTCCCCATCCAATCCAGTGAATGACATGAAGAATGCTGTTCCCTGTGTTGCCAGCTATATGCTCTTTGATCAGAAAGATGAAGTCATGAAACAGAATCTGGTTTACTATGAGTACCACAGAGACAAGTGGGGCCTCACAGATGAGCATTTCCAGCCCAGACCAGTAAGTTTGTAAAAAAAAAAATTTTGAGTAAATTTTTTTTTGTCTTTTGTTTTTACCTTATCTACATTTCCCTTCCTCCTCCCAGAGAGCCATTCTTTGTAAAACAAAGAAAAAAGAGTCTGGGGGAGGGTTCACTAAGTTATATACTAAAAAAAAATTGATGTATGTCATGTACCTGTAGCCCTTCATTTCTGCAAAGAAGCCAAGTTAGTGCCTTCTCATCTCTTGCCTTTGGGGCCATGCTTGATCAGGTAATTAAGTTTAATGAGCATATTACTTGCGAATTATTTTCCCATCCCCTCCCCTTCTATGTAGCACCTACTATGTGCCAAAGCACTTTACAAATACTATCTCATTTGATCTTTTCAACAACCCTGGGAGGTCGGTGCTATTATAATCTTCATTCAAGGAAATTGAGGCAGGCAGAGGTCAAATGATTTGCCCAGGGTCACACAGCTAGTAAGAATTCAGGTCTTAATGACTCTAGACCTAGCATTTTGTCCATTGTGCTAGTATCTGACTGTAGTTTTCTATCCATGAAAAACAAACAAACAAACAAACAAAAATAACTAAAAATAGGGGTGAGGGTAGAGAACAGCATGTAGTTAATGGAAGATTTTGAGCACTGGGTTAGATACTATGCTCCTCACCCTGTCTCTACAAACTCAACTCTATAATATAGCTTCCATATTCCAAATAGACTAATATATCTGTGATTCTTTTTTTTTTAAGTATGTAACTTTTATTTTAATTTTTCTTAATTAAAAAAGTACTGCCTTCCTTGCTTCCCAGCCTCTTGTCATTTGGGGGAAAAAAAAGGAAAAGAAAAATAAAACTTTTGTCATGAATAAGCAGTCATTTTAAATTTCATTTTCTTTTTCAGTTAACAAACATGTACTTTCTCTCCCTTCTACTCCTCCAACTAAAAGAAAAAAAAAGATAAACAAATATACAGAGTCAAGCCAAACAAATTTCTGCTTGGCCACGTCCAAAAATCATGTCTCATTCAGATTATGTCTGCACAGGCAAAGGGAAACCTATTGTTTGCAAATGCAGAACGAACCCTGTTCCAAGGCACCTTCGGTTGCTTCTGGGCTTAGAGCTGATGAGAGTGAACTTCCCCCAGAACACAAAACAACCACGGTCCAAGGCTTTCTTTAGGAAAAGTTCCAGTCTTTTCACGATCGAACAAGTAAAGAATTTCAGTTGATGGTGTTGGGGGTTATTTGCAGTGGAAATCTTTGTTTGATCAAAGAAGATGTCTTTGAAGAAACAATACAGCCCAGTGTCCTCGTCCCCAAAAGAGAGAAGTGTGTGACCATCGGGCCAGAACCTCTTCAATGAATGCTTGTCATTTTTATGCTACTTGGCAGTATTCTCAAGGAAGAACTGTCTCTCTGAGTTAAAACAGTGGCTTTTTGCCCAAGGATCATACCAGCCACTGGCCTTAGCCTCCAGTCTTCTCTCTTTCCCGATATACAGACGAGCCTCATTGGTTCCCTGTTAAATCTGACTGTCCTTGATCAGTGCAACTCACTAGGCAGCTCTGATCTTCAGTTTCCTCATCTGTAAAACAGATGTAATATGCCTACTATGTGCCCTGTAAAATAGAAATAATAATACCTGCAGTAACTGCTACCCAGGGTTATTGTAAGGGGCAAATGATATAACTTATGCAGAGTGCTGTGACAGACAGTCTTAAATGATACTTAATGCTTAATACAATTACTGACCACATTTGTTTCTTTTTTTTTCTCCTCTATGTTCATGTGTCCTGTTTTTTCTATATTCTTTTCTTTTCTCTCTTCTTCTTTACATTTCTACCCTCATTTCTTTCTTCCTCACCTGTGCCTCAGACCTGCATATTGGCTCCTGGTGGTGCTCAAGGTTAAAGTACAGGCACATAGTAGGTGCTTAGTAAGTCCTTATTGATTGATTGATGAAACAAAGGCCATGACAAAGCAACAAACATATCATCAACATTCAAATTTTCTGTGTCTAGATACTATAAATGACTTTAGGAATTATATATCCTTACTGCTTTGTCTACCCTTTTTTTCTCCATTGGAAAAAGGCATTGAAGGCAGTTAGATGGCACAGTGGATAGAGAGTACTGGACATAGAGTCAGGAAGACTTGCATTTAAATCTTGCTTCAGACACTTATTGTGTGACTTTGGGCAAGTCATTTAACCTCAGCTTGTCTCAGTTTACTCAACTGTAAAATGGAGACTGCAAGAGCACCTACCTTCCAGGGGTTTGTTGTGAGTAGGAAGCAAAATATTTGTAAAGTGTTTAGCACAGTGCCTGGCGTGTAGTGGGTGCTTAATAAATGCTTATTTCCTTGTTCCTTTCTCTTGATCTATCTTTGACAACTTGTCCTGGATTGGAGACCAGATTGCTTAATAGCAATTATTATTCAATTATTATTTATGCAGAGCTGTAGAATTTTAGAAGTCATTTAGTTCAGACTCTTCCCCGTATCTGAGCATCCTAAATATATGACCCTCCAACTTTTGTTTAAATACTTGTGATGATGGGAGATTCACTACTTTATGAGGTAACACATTCCATTTTGCGGTACTTCTAATTGTTGTAAAGATCTTCCTTATGTAGAATGAGAATCTGTTTCTATTTGTCCTCGTCCCATTCCTTGGAGCAGCAGCAACATAAAAGATGAAATCAGAGGCTCAGTGTCAGAGCTAGAAGGGGCCTTAAAAGTCATCTAGTCTAACTCAATCATTTGACAGATCAAGCTATTCAATGACATGCATTTATTAAGTGCTTACTGTTTACTTTACACTGTGCTAGGCAATGGGGACACACCGTACAAACAATGAGAAAATCCCTGCTGGCAAGTAGATTACATTCTAATGGAAACACAAGTCCATACATAAGTACATACAGAATGCTGTTGTTGAGAATACCGCTCTCAGTCATATCTAGCTCTTCATGACCCCATTTGGAGTTTTCTTGGCACAGACACTGGAGTGGTTTGCTATTTCCTTCTCCAGCTCATTTTACAGATGAGGAAACTGAGGCAAATAGAGTGAAGTGACTTGCCTAGAGTCATACAGCTGGTAAAATCTGAGGCCAGATTTGAACTCAGGTTTTCCTGACTCCAGGCCCAGTGCTCTATCTACCACACCACCCAGCTGCCCTATATATACTGCTGTAATATAGGATAATTCCTATATAGAGAATACGTGTATAGAAAATAAGTGTAAGTAATTAATTGCAATAGATTTAAGTAGAAGATCACTTAGGAGGGAGCACGCCAGCAGCTGAGGGGATCAGGAAAGGCTTCATGTAGAAGGTGATGTTTGAGCTACGGCTGGAAGGAAGATGGCATTTATATCCCCAGGGCTTAGCCCCTGGAACACAGTTGATAATTGTCATCACCAACATCTTCCCACTATGTTCTCTCTTTCTTCCCCAACAGGAAGCCGTTCAGTACTTTAATGTAACAACAATCCAAAAGGAACTCTATGAGTTTGCTAAGGAAAACATAATGGATGATGATGAGGTGAGTTTTCAGTTCTGTTCAAGTCGACTAAAACATTTATTACGCACCTACTTTGTGCTTAAGTCTTGGATCAATATAAAGTTTAGTAAAGCTATGGGTTCCTGTCCTCATGGTGCTTACATTTGATTAGGGGTTGTAGTACAAGTAAGTATAACATACCCTGCTCCAGGAACCTTTTCATCCTGTAAGATCACATCAATCAATCACAACTCATCAGGATCCTCTGGACAGCTAATCAGAGACCTCTGATTGGAGACTCCCCAAACCTCCATTTAAAGAGGGCACCCAGCCCAGTCATCTCTTCATTTCCCACCTGGCTCCTTTGGAGTTCTCCATCAGGTCTCTATCAGGTCCCCACCTCTCTCTTTTTCAGCTTCATTCTATGTGCTGTGTTCTCTCATTAGATTATGCATTCCTTGAGGGCAGGGACTGTCTATTGTATTTTTGTATTTTTTTGTATTGTTGTTCATTTATTTGCAGTTGTGTCTGACTCCCCATGACCCCATTTGGGATTTTCTTGGCAGAGGTACTGGAGTGGTTTGCCATTCTTTCTCCAGCTCATTTTATAGATAAGGAAACTGAGGCAAACAGAGTTAAGTGACTTGCCCAGGGTCACATAGTGAGTAAGTGTCTAAGGCCAGATTTGAATGTAGGAAAATTAGTCTTCCTGACTTCAAGCCCTTCACCCTGTTCACTGTACCACTTAGTTGCCCTCGGCACATAGAAGGTGACTAGTAAATGTTTATTAACTGACTGATGACAAATAATATATAAGAACATGCCGAATGAGATCTCAAAATGTATAAGGGCAAGGGGAGGGGACCAGGAAGGGTGCTCCTTATTGACTAGCAGGACCAAGGAGACTTGATATAAGACGCAGACTTTGAGATGGAGCACGAACCATGAGTAGGAATTCCACAGGTGACAGATTTAGGTAAATGGAAAGAAAGTTATTCCAGGTGTGAAAAACAGCATAAACAAAGGTACAGAGATGGAGGACTGGGGTGTATATATAGTGGACTACAGGTAGTCCACTTTGTCTGAAAAAAGCCATATGGGATAAGGTGAGAGAGATAGAGTTATGAGGGGTGGTAGAGAGCCTCAAATGCTAGCCTAAGGAGTTGGAAGTGTATTCAAAAGTCACTCATCTAGCATTTACTAAGCACCTACTATGGGCTAGGCACTGTGCCAAATAATGGAAATACAAGTAGGAAAAAGAAAGACAGTCCCTAGGATACAATGAAAAGCATAAAATAAGAACTAAGGAGCCATAGAAAAGTTTGGAATTGAGGAGGGAAATGAGCAGGAATGACTTCCAAAAGGAAGAGAGGTATAGTACCTCTGCTGTAGCAGCAGTGTGAGTAATGAACTGAAGGGGAAAGAAACCAATGAAGCAAGCATGGCTGTTGGTGAGGGAGGTGGTAATACGGAAGAGGGCTTGCATTAGCTATGTAGCCACAGCCAGATTGCATAATCTTCCAGACATGAGTTTCCTCATCTGTGAAACGGAGATAATGCTTGCACTGCCCATCTCACAGGGTGATGAGGAAAAATGTTTTACAAATATGAGTTACCGAAAGGAATTATTTTCCCATTTGATTAAAGTGACTGCAATGCTGAATTCTCCCTATGTATGAAAAGTGCAGAAATCAGGGGTTTATGAGCATTTTTATGGAAGGATAATCTTAGTACAAAAAAGGACAATTGTAAGAAATGGGAACTAAGGCTAAACATTTCCCCAGAGGGAAGATCTGTGGTTTCCTCAGAATGTGAAACTGCATGTTGAGAGGGATACACAGATCACACTCTATATCATCTTTTTTATTTTCTCAAACAGTAAATTTAAAATATTTGTGGTTGTTCAGTCATTTCAGTCATGTCCGACTGCCTGTGACCTGTTTCCTTGGCAAAGACACTAGAGTGGTTTGCCATTTCCTACTTCAGCTCATTTTACAGATGAGGAAACTGAGGCAAACTGGGTTAAGTGACTTGCCCAGGGTCACTTGCGAGTAAGTGTTTGAGGCTAGATTTGAACTCAGGAAAATGAGTCTTCCTAACTTCAGACCTGGTACTCTATCCACGGCACCACTTAGCTGCCCTGAATTTTAAATTACCATAGCATTTTAAAGATGTTCAGATAGTTTATTTCCTTCCCTTTTTCTGTGAGCTTGAACCATTGTCTTTTCTTCTGTAAATTGTGTTCAGTGCTCCTTAGCCATTCTAGAGCATTTCTTGAAATTTGGGGTTAGGTGACTCCTGTGAGGTGAGCTTGCTCCCCCTTCCACATTTGTTGAAAAAGACCATAGAGCAGGAGAATTGGAATAGACTTAGTGGTTATCATGTCCAGTCTCCTTCATTTTACAGCTGAGGAAATCGAGGCCCAGAGAAGTTATATGATTCACTCAAGGTCACATAGGCAGCAAGTGACAAAGGCAAGATTGAAAGCCAGGTCTGTTGATGCTGTATTTAGGACTCTTTTCAGCATATCCTCCTGAAGGCTTTACATTATTAAGAGCACTGTGTGAGGTTCTGGGAGAAATACAGAGTGTAGATAAGACACAATTCTTTTCCTTCATGGGTAACTATATGCTGAACAAAAAAGATTAATATTGTACTTTGTATTTTAGGCACAAGGGTGCCAGAAACAATTTAATTTAATTTAACATTAACCTAATATTCAAGCCATTTTTGGCTTAGAGATGTTAGTCAGTAAATGTTAAGTACCTACTGTGCGCCAGGTACTGTGAAGTACTGGGAACATAAAGAAAGGTAAAAAAGACAGTCGCAGTTCTCAAGGAGTTCAAAGTCTAATGGAAGGAAATGGAGGGGAAGGCTTTCCTGACTCCAGGTTCAATTCTTGATACACTATTGCACTCAGCTGCCTCGGCTACTCCTTTGTTCTTCCCACTAGGCAGCACTACCTTAATTCTATGGTATGGCTTTCAGTGAATAGGAGAAAGATAAGATGGTCTCTTTAAAGAGCTGTAGGGTCAAATGAAGGAGAGATTTGCTTGTTTGTTTGGATTTCTTTTTGCTTTTGTGAGTGCTTTTCCCATGACAAAGGAGACCTGTTTCTATATTTGAAGGCAGAAAGAAAGGATTTGGCAGACAAGGAAAAAAATAGATTGAAGATGCTAGTGATACATTTTCACAAAGAATTACCGAATTTCAGATCCGGAAGGGACCTCAGCAACCCATCCTTTCTTAAACTAGAATCCCCACCACATTATCTCTATCAAGTGATCATCTGGTCATTGCACAAGGACCTTCACAAAGGAGATTCCATCACCTCCCCAGGCAGCTCATTCCACTTTCATATGACTCTTATTGTTAGGAAGTTTTCCCTGACGTCAGGCCTAAATCTTCCTCTCATCAGCTTTTACTCACTGTTCCTGGTTCTACCTTCTGGGGTCAAGCAGGACAAATCACCCCATACTCTGTAACTAAGACCTGCTTGTTTAGTCCGTGTAAATCTGGCCCACAAAAGGTTAGGACTTCACTGTTTGGTTAGTGAATGGGCGCCAACATTTTTCCCAGGAACATTATTAGACTTTGATTTAGCCAGAAAGAGGACAGGTCAAGTTCTGACTGTCCATTGGATATTTGGGGTTGAACTCTAAATGTTAAGAAACCAACACCTTGTTTGCAAATTCCCTGGGGCCCAAGTCCACACCTTGGTACTCTTCAGGAACTCAGCATGCTCCCACCACACCAAACCAAGCCCAAGTTCCCACAGCATCCAGCTGACGCCATGACTCTGTGTGGTTGGATAGGTCTGCCATGTCGGACTCTCCTAGTCCTTTTAAGAGGTGTTCACTCACCTAAAGAATGTTGATGGAGTTTTCAGCTTTGTACCCTTAGAGCCAGCTTGGCAGGAATAAGATGTTAAATACAGTGAAACTTCTTTATAACATTTTCCAGGCAACTAAGATTTTTTTTTTTCTTTCTACATCTTGGAATGAGACATCCTGGAAAACCTTAACTGGGGTTAGCTTTATGGGCCTCTCGGCTGGGAAGAAAAAAAAAATTGGCTCTTCTAGGCAGGAAAATGTTATTAGGAAGCTGCACAGTGATTATAAGTCACGGTAGGAAGTTGTAGCTAGGTCTGCCATCTTACAGATTTCTAAGATTCCAATTCCATGGCAATCAATGCCCTGAAGGAATAGAAGAGTGTTACAAACAATTTGTTGTTGTTGTTGTTTTTTAAATCTGTCTTTTAATAGTTCAGTTGTGACTTGAAATAGAGCAGAGGAAATGACGTAAAGAGAAAACATGCTTGAGTAATTTCTTGTTTGCATAGGTCATAAATTATGGCCAACTAAAATGTTCTCTGAGTTAGTAAATGGTAGCATGCATTCCAGATGTATAGTTCAAATTTCATGAAAAGTATGTGGAAATTCTACAAGCAGATATAGCTTTCACATGGAAATGGTTATTCCTTTTGTTTTGTTTGTTAACTGTCCCTTGTTATCACTGTAGATCCTTCAGACCTCTTCTGATGTTGTGTCAAACCTGTTTCTTCTGGTTTGTGCCATAAAGAAAACAAATACCACTAACTTGTTTTACAGGAGATGTTTCCTGACAAATGCATAGGCCTTCATGACAAATAATTTAAATTAATAGTGGGTCTGAAATGCAACCAATTTCTGTTTGTTTGTTTTTTTAAGTTCAGACTTTGGTTGGAAGCAGGAGCATTATTTGGGTAACAGACTGGTCAGACACTCTTCACAGGGTGGGGATAGTATTCATCATGATAAATTACTTCTATTATGAACTAAAACTTCTGACACTTGGACAGACTTTGGGGCAGCTTGGTGAAGAATGAACACCAAGCCTAGTTCTATTTCAGGAATCATAGTCCTACAAATGTGGACAGAATCTCTCTCTTTCTTTGTCTCTCCGTCCTCTCTTCTCTCTTGTTTTTGTTCTTGGTCTTCTGCTCCTCTCCTCTTCCTCTTCTTCTTCTTCTTCCTCTTCTTCTTTTTTTTCTTCTTCTTCTT